TTGTTTGCTTCTACTCCCTAAGCTACCTTCTTATTTTCACAGTCATGGCCTTATGCCATATTTGTCCCTTTTTAAAATTGTAGTTTTAGTGAAAGTTTACAGAAAAGTTGGCTCTTCACTCATTGTTGCACATTTTCCTTTCTCCCCCTTGTATTTGAATAAAATGTTGTATTCAGCAATGCATACAGCATTTTGATTCCTGTTAATCTGCTGTTCTTAAAAGGCATATATAATGAACATCCAAAAACTTCTCCAACAGGGTAAAAAGGGAAGCCACAGACTGGAAAAAGTATTTGGTAATGATATGTCAGACAAGGGACTTATATCTAGAATTTATAAAATACTTGAGCACCACAACAAGATAAAGGTAAATAATCCAATTGAAAAATGGGCACAGGATATGAACAGACACTTCACCAAAGAAGACATTCAGATGGTTAACAAGTACATGAAGAAATGTTCAAAATCCCTAGCTCTAAGAGAGATGCAAATCAAAACAGCTATGAGATATCATCTCACCCCAGTCAGAATAGCAAAATTTAACAGAACTGCAAGCAACAAATGCTGGTGAGGTTGTGGAGAAACTGGAACCCTTATTCACTGTTGGTGGGAGTGTAAAATGGTGCAACCACTGTGGAAGAGGCGGTATGGCGCTTTCTCAAAATGTTGCAAATAGAGATATCATTTGACCCAGCAATTCCACTACGGGAATATACCCCAAAAGACCGTAACTGACATCCAAGCAGATATATATGCACACCCATGTTTATTGCAGCTTTGTTCACAATAGCAAGGAGTTGGAAACAACCTAAGTGCCCATCAACAAACTAATGGAAAATGGAATACTATGTTTCATTGAAAAAACAAGGAACTCATGCAATATTATTCAAAATGGGTGACCCTGGAGGACATTATGCTAAGTGAAGTATCTCAGTCACAAAAGGACAAATACTACATAGTGCCAATGTTGTATAACAGAACTGACCTTGGGATTGGGAAGAAACTGAGAAAGACTGGTTCAATAATGTATACTGCATTGAAACAGATGAGGGAAAAAACTTTAAAAGTGATATGTGATTAGGTATTTTTGTCATGACGAGAGACCAGAGCGAAGGCTGCATAGTGGAGTGGACCTGGAGGAGGGATTGTAAAACAACGAAAGAATTTTTCTTTTACTTTTCCAAGAGGGTAGTGTACTAGGGGGAAGGGTTGGGAGGGGAGAAAAGCACAACCATGAATGAATGGAAATCCAAAGTCTCTGTAAATTTTCATTCACATTAATAATAAATTTTTTAAAAAGACATGTATACATGCTAGAGACACTTAGGCTATGGCTTTTGAAAAGGATAATTTTGATTTATTAAAAATGTCAGCACTTAAAAAGCAAGCTTCCTTGTCTCCACTGGAGTTCCTTCCTTTTGGCCTATTAGTTCCATCAGATGGGTAAATTTCTCTTCCACCCTTGGGAGGTTTGGCAAGCTTAAAAATTTCCAAGTTTACTTTCCGTTTCTTCCTCTCTATTCTCAAGTAAAAAGAGCTCCAGTTTTACTCTATCAAAATTGATGGATTTTCACAGCAAATCCCTTGACTCAGTGGTTAATGTTATAGCCAGACTACCAGCAAAGAGAAGGGTGTTGGGGTTTGTGTGTTGTTTCTTTTCTTCAGTAAGAAAACTTCTTACTCATCTAAGACCATTGAGATGCAGTAGAAAGTTACCTCTAACTTAAAAGAAAAGTGGCCAGTTCAGCTACTAAATTAGTCATAAAGAGCCTTGGGTAAGTCTCTGTAACTTTTTGCATGAAGCTTATGCAAAGAGCAAAAGAGAGGATGAAGAGGTTTTGTCTTGGTAAATTAGACCTCAGAGAAAGATGGTGACCATCACCTGAGAGTGAATGTGAATCACAAACTCATGTTCCTATTGGAATGCAGGAGCCAATGTGGAATGGACACTTAAGTCTGGCCACACTCACTTAGATATCCCATTTTTATCTCCTATTTTTGAAAGAGAGAGGCCATAAAAGAGCCTAGGATTCGCTGTCGTTCACTTTAGTTGAATTGACTAACTCACAGTGACAGCAGATCAAAACCCTCCCGTCCTGTGCCACCCTCGCAATCCTCACTGTCCAAGCCCATGGTTCCAGTCACTTGTTGAGGGTCTTCCTCTTTTTCACTGACTCTCCACTTTTCTAACATTGATGTTTCTTCCCAACACTGGCTGTTTTCATCAACAATCCCCTTCTCTCTCTTGGTGGGCTAGCTACCTGTGCTCTCCAGGGTGGCACACGCTTTGTAAACTCCATTTCACTCTTCGTCCCATGCATGACATGGTCTTTACTTCAGGTTGGCTTGGCATATTCTCAGTAAAAGCAAGTCACATGCCTAACTGATTTGTACAGTTCAGTCAAACCAACAGGCTAAGTAAGAGATTTCTAAGAGATCCAGTGTGAAAAAACAATCTATTCGAACTTTGTAAATAAACTAGTATAAAATTGGGGAAAAAAAAGATGGGCAATCAATGTTCTAAAAGCATCGTCAGCATTACATGGACAGAGGATGAAATGGTGGCATGGCTATATTGCAGCTTGTGTAGCTGTGACTGATATTTAACCAGACCCTGACATTGGGGTCTGCTTCCCTTTGTATTCAGATGCTGAGGATCAGAAAGGGGGGCCTCCCGTGAGGCCTGGCAAAGGTCGCCTTTCTCTTTCAGGAGCTTCCAAGTTTTTCAATTTGGTTATTGTCTCTTTCTTGGTTTCCTTTGGCAATAAAGATCTAAATCTATCAGATGATGTGTTATTATCTGATCCAATTTTATACTGCTTTTTTGGTGTTGTTGGGGTTTTTTAGTGGTTTTCCCTTTTCTTTTTACTTCTTTTCAATGAATACATACTACAAACAGAAGCATTTGTTCGGTTTCATTGAGTTCTGTTTTCCTTATTATGGAAGTTAAGCAGGGAATTTTTGAAAATATCCCACCTAGCTCTGGTTGGGTATCTCCAGCATGAAATGATGACTCAGCTCCGTGCCACCATCAGGCATCTAATGCTCTTGGTCTCATCACTGCATATAGTTATTATTAAACAATGATCTCCTCAAGTTCATGAGTTTCCCCCTAAAAGGCCAAGTAAAGCCTATTCCCTGTAATCAACAATGTTTTATACAGTGAATTCTGTGAACATTGGGACCTGTGTATAAGGTGGAAACCTGTAGGAGAAGAAAATTGAAAAATTTCCGCTCTTTGCTGTTGAGTCAGAACTGATTCATAGCTGACTCTCCATTAGGCTTCTGAGGCCATAAATGACATGATAGGAGAGCGCTTATCTGAGGAGCTGCTGAGGGACTCAAACCTTCAAAGAGGCATTGCCTTTGGATTAGCAGCGCAACTCTCTACAGACTACATCCCCAGAGCCCCTGGTGTGGTAACACTACCTTCTGGCAAAAACAGAAAGCTTTCAAGGCCTGGAAAAACAAGGTAGTTCCATCAAGTTCTGACTCTCACAGTTTTCACTGAATTTTTTAAAGAAACAGGTTACGGGAAAAGTTCACCCACACTACATACTGTTCTTCCTTCAATATTAACATAACTAGAAGAATAACAAGAAGAAAATAATCTTAAAAGTTTCCTGTATATAATGAATTATGTCTGAGAGCACCTGTAAGACTTCATCCTGTTCGGAAATAACATGGCTACTAGAAGTTGCTTCGAAGAAACAGAACGTCTGGTCACTGTGACTCAACGTTTCCTTTACGATTTGGGGGAACTGAATATTTTGCTACTACATATTTTACCATTCACTTGCCTGGCCATGATCTTCTGCCTTATTTACATAAGAACTCGTATTGACCAAAGGAGAAGAAATTGTGTTTTTCTTACAAACTGATCATTTTCTTAGTTGTGAAAGGTTATAAGTTGTTTCAGTCTGAATAAAGAACCCTAAAATGATAGCGAAACTGAACAAGAAATTTCCAAGGGTGAGGTTTCTCCAAACAATAGGACAGATAGGAGAATTCTTTGACTTCTTTTCTTAAAATCTAACTGAGATTGTATTGTTGTTGCTGTTGATTGCTGTCAAATTGAGCATAACTCACAGTGTTTGTATGTACAAAAGGCCTAAAGCCTTTGAATAACTATGACCATTTATCAAAGTTCATAGAGTTTCCAGAGGCATGTTGCTTATGCCTAATCAGAGACGAATGCTTAATAAGAACCAGGTTAAAGAAAAAAAATACATGTGTGCGCACACACACACACACACACACAGAGTCAAACTTAGTGCTATTTCAAAAGAGCAGCCTCCAGTGATCAATGAAATCACAGCAATACATCAAAACTTGGGGCTGTTGTAGAAACCCCAAAATGCCCAAAGGTGCCATGTCTTTTATGCAATGAATGCACAGATAATTTTCTATATTCCTTTCCAAAGCTTATTTGTAAGCCATACATTTTCAACCCAATGTAAAAGAACACATCCCAGTCACTGCAAGAATTCCCAAGGCTGCACCTGTTGCAGAGTTTAATTTTTCTTTGCACTAAACTTAGCCAAACTCACAAGAAGGATTTCAGCTGTCCTAAATCCTACCTCTTCTACTATTATTCTTATATTTCCCCACAATATTATAAATCCTATGTCTTAATGTGAAAACAATTGATATGGACCTTGGGGTCCATATAAAGAACAATTTCAGGGAGCTGTGGTGGCATAGTGGCAAGAAGCTGCACTGCAATCCCAGAGGTGCACAGTTTGAATCCACCAGATGCTCTGCTGGAGAAGGAGAGGCAATCTCCTGTACTGGTCAGATTCGATAGTACACACAAAAAATAATAAAATAGAAAAATTTTAAAAAATTTAAACAAAAGAACAATACGAAGGAATAATTTATACTCATATTTATTCTATGGCCTATATAAATAATTTAGACTATAATTTCTATTATACAAAATAATTTATATGGACCACAGAAGAGCACAGAAGGGACAATGAGCAACCCCTGAGTCCTACCTTCAACAGAAGATTCCAGGAGCAGGATGAAGGCAAGAGCCAGGACTAGCCTGCTGCACTTGAGGAGCCCCTGCATGGTGACCAGCACGCGTCAACTTCAGCCTCACACTTAGGAAGCAGAGTAGGGTGATGGCCGTGCCTTTTAGAAACGGCTCCCAAACCTCAGACCCTCCCAGCACACACGTCACAATTTCCTCTCTCTTGTTGCTGTCCTAGTCCCTGCTCTGTCCACACTGTTCTGCCCAAGAGCAGAGAAAACGGGAATTTCAAAACACCTGATTGTGTTTACGGAAACCTATGTTCAACCAGGAGTCAGTTGTCAGAACAGGGCAAGCAAACATTGCATGGTTCAAAATCAGGAAAGGAGTGTGTTAGGAATGTGTCCAATCTCCATATCTTTTCAATTTTTATGCAGAACAGATTTTTCATAAGGCCGGTCTTTATGGGGAGGAGTATGGTATCAAAATTGGAAGAAGACTCGCCAATAACTTGCAGTACACAAACTTTCTTGCTGAAACTGAGAAGAATCTGAAGGATCTGCTGCAGAAAGTCAAGAATTTCAGTCTTCAGGAAGCTCTGGTGGCCTAGTGGCAAGGAGTTGCAACTACAATCCCAGAGGCACACGGTTCGAATCCACCAGATGCTCTGCCGGGGAAGGAGGGACAATCTCCTCCTGTACCAGTCAGATCTGATTTGACGGTACACTCACACAAAAATAAT